GATGGGATTCACCTGGGCTAAGACTGGGTTTTTAAGAGCGGTGTCATGGGGACGCCAGTAGAAGCAGAAGCCAAGCAGAAGCCAAGAACAAAGAAACCGAGAGAGAAGCAGAGAACACCGGAGAGCCCAGAAAGAGTGAAGACTTGCTGGGGGCTGGGAGGACTGCCAGCCTGCCAGCCCCCCAGCACCCCTGCCTGCTGTGTACCTGGTAAATCCCAATAAAAGCCTGCAAAAGCCACTGAGGACTCTGACGACTCCTTTACCTGGTCTGCTGGATCATAGAAAACCTGCTCAGTAGTCTTCCTGACCCTACAAAGACATAAAGATAGTTGAAATCAAAAGGCAATTAAATATATGTATGTCTAACCAAATATACAAAGTTAATATTGATGTCAAACAAGATAAAGAGGTTGCACCATAATAATAAAATCTTCATTTCAGTAGTAACATATAGCGATTTTAATTGCAGATTTTTCTTATGAGGGAAACTGAGGAGGACAAGTCCAGTGATAGTGTGAGTTTTTTTAAACACATTTCTTTCAGTAATTAACAAAACATGCTGTAGGGTAAGGAAAAAATGTCAGGCTTTCCTGCCCTCCCGCCATCAGGATAGATGATGGATCCTTGTGGTCCTGAATGCAGGCCTGATGGCGGGCACCTGGAATAGGGTGTGGGCATAGGTAGATGGGATTCACCTGGGCTAAGACTGGGCTTTTAAGGGCGGCGTCACGGGGACGCCAGCAGCAGGAGAAGCCGAGAAGCAGCAGCAGAAGCCAAGAACTCCAGAGAGCCCAGATAGAGTGAGGATTTGCAGGGGGCTGGGAGGCCTGCCAGCCTCCCGGCCCCCCAGCACCCCTGCCTGCCATATGCCTGCTGAACCCCAATAAAAGACCTGCAAAAACCACTGAGGACTCTGACTCCTCCTTTAACCGGTCTGCTGGATCAGAAAACCTGCTCAGTGGTCCACTCCTGCCTCTACACATGCAGACCAAATGTCAGTAAGAAATTAAAGGTTTTGAACACATAATTAATAGATTTGACCTAATGGTTAAAATAACTGCAGAATGCAGTTTTTCCAGGCACATGCAAAACATTTACACAAATTTACTTTTTGCTGTCCATAAAGCAAATGTAAAATAATGTCAAATGCTTGGAAATTATAAAATATCTGACCACAATTAAGTTTTTCTGGGAATTCATACTAATAAGATAACTAGGAGATCCCATTTATTTGGGACTTAAATAGTTTTATACCAACATGTATTGGAAGTACAATCCAGCACAGAAGGATAATCCTTCAATCGACTAACCAATGGGAAAGAAAGGGGGAAAAATAACTATCATTATAATTGTGGTGAAAAAAGCCAAAAGATACTATAGACAAATAATTAAAATTAATAAGAATTTTGTAAAGTTGCTGGATACAAACTCAGCAAACAAAAAATTATATGTCTACAAATTATTAACAACAAATGAAATTAAATATATCATCTCCAATAGAATAAAAAATATTGATTACCTAGAGATAGTTCATTTGTTTATGTGGATCCACAAAATGAGGCCTCTCTAATAGCCCAGTCCCTATCACAAATCTGAGTCAGCTTGCAGTTAAGGAAAAGCCTCATTGTCAAGGAAACCTAATATACACAAATTGCAATTCTCCAATTCACTTTAACTCACCTGATGTAGAAAATAGAACCGGCTAACCTTACAAGGAAATCTTCAACCAATCTTGCTCTGTTTCTGGGTGTCCTCCAATGACATTTTATAAAACTCACTCTTGTTCAAAATCCCTTGGGTAGAGTGTTTACAACATGTGAGGCACATGTTGGATTGTTTTATTTTGAATAAAAGACATAAAACCTACCACTAAATTATTTTAGTTTTGTTATTTGATACTCACAATAAGTCTAAGAAAAGAGGGGCAAATATTCTGCAGGGGAAACTATAGAAGTTTGGGAGAAGTTGGAGAAGACCTAAACAAATCAAGAAAAAAAAAAAACACATTTGTGGATAGAAAAACTCAATATTTTAAATGTTTTTCTTCCCAGAAAGATTTATAACTTCAAATCAATAACAGTAAAAATTGTTTGTGTGTACATACAATTAACAATTGACTCTAAAACTTAGAAGGATGGACAAAACACTCAGAATAGCCAGGAAAATTATCAAAGAAAGACAAGACAGTGGAATTACTCAAGATAAAACATCAAAGCTTGTTCTAAAGCTAAAGGAGGGGGTCTCCCTGGTGGCACAAGGGGTTAAGACAACCTATGAAGCTATCTGCAGCCACTGAAGCATGAGTTCAATCCCTGGCCAGGGAGCTACCCTCATGGCACAGCAGACCTCTCCTGACTTGCCCATTGCTCCCCTCAGCAGTGTATTTCAATCTGCCTGTTCTGTTCCCCACTCTGTCTGTAATACATCCTCTCACCCCCCACACCTCTGGCCTATACCCCAGTTCTTGTATGCATAAATAAATAAATCTTTATAAAAAATAAAAAAATATATATAGCTAAAGTAATTTGGCTGTGAAATTGGTACCTGTAAAGGCAAGTGTAGAATAGATGGAATAAAATAGAATATAAACCCAGACCCAGAACTGCACATCTATAAATAGTGGACCAATGCCAAAGGCAGTAATGGAAAAGGAGAGCTTCACGTCATGTAGTAATACTTGGGAAAACTGGGTGATATTCTTTTAGAAAAGAAAATGAAATCTGGGCTCCTATATTTTACAGCAAGCATAAAAATTAAGTCCATGTTGATTACAAACCTAGAAATTTTGGTAATGTATGTGTTGATGAGGGTATGGCAAAAAAGAAATGGCTATATGGTGTCAAATAAACTTTTGTGTAATATTTCTGAACACTGATTCACTTAGGAAGGTATGCATAACAAGCATGTTACTCTCAGAAGCCTAAAGATATCTGTGTGCTATACTGTAGATACAAAATCAGTAAAAGCAGCAGCATTATTCATAATGTTAAAAAAAATTGGAAGCACACAAGCATCCATCAACAGTAGAGTGGATGAAATTATATGAAAATGAATGAACTGGAACTATATGCAACAACAAAAATGGATCTTAAGAAACATAATTTTGAGAAAAAGAAGCAAGTTGCCAGTAAAATGAGCATGAATTCATTTATAGTAAAGTTCAAAAGGAGGCAAAACTACACTCTTGAGCAATACATGTATGGATGAGGGTACCTCCAGGAAGATGAAGTGATTGGCAAGGGACACATACAGATTTTTGGGGTTCCTGGAATTTTTTTTCTGGGTCTTAATTGTGGTTACATGGGTGCTGACTTTACATTAAGTTTTTGTATTGTGTGAAATATTACTCAGCAATCAGAAAAGATAAACTCATGCTATTCGCAGCAACATGGAGGGAGGTAGAAGGAATCATGTTCAGTGAAATAAACCAGAAAGAAAAAGAAAAATACCGGATGGTTTCACTTATAGGGGGAATGTAGAGGATCCGAATAAGAAATGGGGGGGAGTAAATATAATAAAGTGAAAATCAAAGTCAACAAGCAACTATAAACAGAGACATTTTACAGGGCTGGGGGAGAGGGAGTAGGATCAAAATAGCGGAGGAAAGAGCACAAGGGGCTATGATGATGGTGCACGGGTGAATGGGTGGTGGGAATTTCATAGGGACTATTACGGAGACGAGAAAGCATGCATTGTACAAAAATGAAGAACGATGTAAAAAATATAAGATGAAAAATATAATCAAACAGTTTGTATAGTATACTTGTGTTTTGTAGTTTATTTTTGTATTACCATCATAGTTTTTAAAAATTTGTTTTTTAGAGTTCTTTCGAGTTCTTATAATATCGATATTGAAACACAGTTTGTAAAATGAAATACATGGGTGCGAAAAGGCGCATAGTATTGCCTATATCTGTGGGAAGGGATGGAGAGGAGAAAAAAGAGGAAGCTAGAAGAAGAGAGGTGAAGGGCCTTGGGAGAGGGGCTTGTAAAGAACAGTGCAACCCTGACACAAAAAACAGTGGTCGTCTCTCGGTAAGAAATAGGCCAAGGGACAAGATGAGAAGAGAATCCCTGTTCACTGTATACCTTTTTGTGTCTTTTGAATTTCATACCATGTGACTATTTTAAGTACCTACTCAAAGTAAAATGCCTTAAAATGTAGTAACCATGCTTATCCACACGAGGGCACTATCGAATGTCGTTTAGCTCTAATTTCTAGCCAGGGGAAAAAAGATCTGAATTCTTGTTCTCCCTGGGAAGGGAAGAATGGCCATCATTTACATTCTTACTTTACTTTACACCACATCATGTTCCAGAAAAAAATTAAATTCCAAATATTCACAAAAGGTAATTAATATACATTTTCAGATGGTGTAAGCGAAGACAAAAAGGAAGACTAGATTAGAGAGATAATCTATGTCAGGAATAAGTGTAAAAGAATTGAAATTTAAACTACCTCTCTTAGTTATCTATAAATTGGATTCTGAGATTTCTAGCATTCAGCGCAAAAGAAAAAGTGAAAACACTGTTATAAATAACAAAGCAATTTATAATCTTTCTCGGGAGAATTTTACTACTAGGCAAAAAAAAAATTTCCCGATAGAGTTTGTTAAAGACAATTCCTGAAGACCCTTTAAGTGAAATTCCTGACTGGTCTTAATTCATGGATCAATTGTGAAGCCACATCATTTTGCTCTCTAAGAGAAGTCTAAGATGCTTTGGGACTTTAGAGGAGGGAAGTTTCATCGATGGTTACTCATGAATGAAAATGAAACTAAGCACACAAACTGTAATTAAAGAAGAAAAGTCATAAATCTGTACCTTAACAAGTGCCCTGTCTGAACCACAGAATAGAGAGTGAGTTTTTCCCCTTCACTGGACTTTTCAAAAAGTGGTTGTTCCCCTTTTACTTAAAGCTGAACATCTGATTGTACTTTGGGCTACAAATGAGTTAAATACTATTCTCTATTAACCCTGCTCAAACACTGCTGCTGACTTACAACCTCAGGTTTGGGCAATATAAAACCTGAAGGAGATCTGGACGTAGGAGACAGTTTTCTCACTGACAGGAGCTTCAACAATTTGAAAAACACTTCTGTGGTTATGGATTCATCTGACATTCAAAGGAAAAAAATAGCTGTCATTGGTGGTGGTTTGGTAAGAATCAATTTATTATATCAGTATAATAGTGGTATTATATTAATTTCATTATTCTTAATGGTTATTAATCACTTATATATTGTTAATTTTCTTTTGAAAGCTTTTCTAATATTTAAGTATATCAATTTAATATATGGCATTAGATTTAATTTGCTATTTTCCAGGAACAATATCTTATTTTTGTTAAATACAGTTTAGCATTTCTTTAAAAACAAAATAAAGCAAGTTGAATTTGATTTAGTCCCAAATTAGCTATGTTTTAAAAGCAGACTTTAGTCTTAATAGTCAATTTAATGAAAACATTGTGTCTATTTTGGTTAATAATTCAATTTATAATGTCTAATAAGAATAAAGTAAACACAATGCAAATATATAATTATCATTTGAATGTTTCCTATTTGAATAATTGGGTTTAATACCTATAGGTGACCTGATCTATTTGGCTTGTCCATTAGAGCACACAAGCAGCAAAGAGGAACATGGCAGGACTTGCCCCTCACCTACTTCGGAGATGTGGGATGGGATCTGTCCCATACATTGTCAGTTGTAACAAAGCTGCTTCTGTTGATAGTGAGGCTGCCTCATGTAAACTTTAATTTTTCCTCTTTCAACAGAACTCCTATTTTGGAATAAAGCTATTCTCACTAGATAAAGTTGAACTTTTTTTTTTTTCACTTTTGGTCTAATTAACTGGAGGGTTTTTAGCTCATGTGTATTCATTCATTTATTTGCTCAACAAAAATTTCTTGAAGGCATATTTTATAACATACATATATTTGTACACGATATGTTGATTTTATCTATTGTTCTTCCTTCATTATTGTCTTTTCCCCAAAGTACTATGACAATTTTTCTAGTTCTACATGCTAAAGAAGACAATCACAGGTCATGCCAAATCAGTGCCTGAGACATATGCTTTATTTTCTTCATTTTGGGCTTTAGTTCAAGTCTTTCCTATCAAAATTTTGAGTAAAATGAGTATTTGTGCTTTCAGCAAAATCTTACTAGTAGTGTCTATTGTGTACCAGCTTGGTTTTGGGTACTAGAGGTACATTGGTGAGTATTCCAGAGAAGGGAAAGACAATGGAACAGGAAAAATAGACATAATTTCAGTAGAGATAAACACTATGAAGGAAATGCGAACAGGATAATGTCGTGGAAAGTGTTGTAAGAGGAACTGTTTAGCATGTGGTTGGGGAATACCTCTCAGGGGGATATATGACCAGAGAGCTGAGTAATAAGAAGGAGGCAACCATGTAAAAGGCCACAAGAAGGGTATTTTCAGATAGAGGGAATTGCAAGAAGAGAAACTGAGGCAACAATGACCTGGACATTGTCCATAGGATCATAGAGGACAAGAAAAGAAGGCTGTATTTTATTCTAAGCATACTGAAAATAATTGGAGAATTTTAAGCAGAAAAATAAATGTGATTTAAAAAGATACCTCAAGTTATCTCATTGAGAATGACTGGGAAATTTTTAAGAAAACATGATAAAACAGCTAGGAACAAACTGTTGAATTTATCCAAAACTTTGTTTAGGGTGACAACAGTGATGTATTTTAAAACATCTCTCAGAAATCCAAGGGGTGATAACAAATATATGATTTTAATATATGATTCTTGGCAAGCATAAAAATGTGGGTGTCATCATGGATGTCTTCCTGAATGTTTGAACTTTACATCATGTAGCCACTTAATTATCTGGGCACACATACATGTGATAGAAAATAGAAAGCATGGATTAATACATGTATATAAAAAGCAATTAAAATTCCTCTGCAAAGGAATTTTTTCTAACTTATTGGTCAGACATATGTCTAGGAATCTTGTTTGATTCCTTTTTTAAATTTTATATAGCCCTCCACTACTATATTCAAAATATATTTCTATTCTGGCTACAATTCTAATTCTTCATCCTGACTTCTGTAACCATATCCTAAGTGGTCTCCTAGTTTCCTCTTATCCACATACTGTTCGTTCCCTGCGCAGCAGCCAGAATCATTCTTATGTAGTATAAATATGATAATTATTACTCTTTGCTCAAAACCTTTCAGTGTTCATCAATACATATAAGACAAAATCCAAACTCTTCACCAAAGGCCCTCCATAAACTGAGTCTGTCTACTTGGCTGACCTCATCCTTTCCCTGTTTTATGTTTTCATATTTCCTATCAGTATCTGAAATTGTACTTTATTTTTATTCATCAATTATTCATTTTACCTATTTATTAAATGTCTATTCAAACTAGGATATGAACTGTTATTTACCAATGTATTCCAGTCACTAGAACCATCCCTATCATTACTTGCTGTTATTTACTAAGTAATTGGTGGATAAATGAATGAGAGAGATGAAAAGTCTCTTTTTTTTTTTTAAGATTTATGTATTTATTTATACAAGCACTGGGTACAGTCAGAAGTGTGGGAGGGTGAGAGAATTCACCAGAGCCAGAGTGGGGAGCAGAACAGGCAAACTGGCGAAGTGCACTGCTGAGGGGAGCAGCGGGTGACAGGAGAGGTCTGTGTGCTGTGTGGGACCCTTGCCCGGTGGACAGGGATTGAACCGGCACTGCAGAGGCTGCAGGCAGCTTTGCAGCCCAGCACTTATCTACTGTGCCACCAGGGAGGCCCAAAGTCTCTTCTTAAGGACATGAAGGTGAAGAAAATTTCATAATGGATGACGATTTGCGTATTAGGGACATTAAAAAAATATTGATGCAATACAGCAATTCAAGAAAGGCAAAATCAATACGTAGAGGACAAAGTTATTTTCTTACCCGTCTTCTATGTGTGTTCATCACCTTTTCCATTCTCTTCTTCCCTTTAGTCTGTATCCCAGTACCTAATACTTTCTAATACATTAAGGGCTCTCCATGGCCCCTGAGAAAAACTTGAAACAGAGTTGAGAACCTTTAAGTAGAAGTCCAAAGAATATGAAGAACTCCCCCCCTCCACTTTTTTTCCCAGCAGTTGGTCTGCCCAGTGAAAAATCACCCAAAGAAATTGTCCTTACTCTAATTTGGTAACCAGCAGATCCTGTGATAAACCAATTCCTTTTCTTTGAAAACACTTCAAGTCAAGATCAGAAGAAATCAATAAATCAGAGAAACTAAAAAGGTGAAGGAAACTATAAACCATAATCCCAAACTAGTGAAATTTTAACTATTGAAAATGTGGAAAGATATTAAAATAGTGTTTATAATGTTAATCTGGATATTTAGGAAAATCATAATATTGCCTTAAATACTGTCCTTCACCTGTGAAACCCTCTTCCCTGACTCTTCCTTCTTCCTATGGGATTTTCTCCTGGAAGCTGGAAGAGCAATTTCTAAAGAACATTTCCTTTCTGCAAATGCCCACAGGGCTTTATTTGCCTACATTATATGACTTATCCTGTCAAATTAAACTATTTTGTGTACATGAGTATGCTTTCAGAGCAAGGTGGGGAATCATACTCTTAGAAGTTATGAGCAGTTGAAACAAAGACATGTTTTTCATCAGAAAATTTCAACAGGAATGTGGTCCTTTGATTCACTAACTTGGAAAAGGATTTGAAAACCAATCTCTACATTTCAGACTGGAAGGAGTTGTGTAAGTGTGACATCCTAATTTAACAAGTCAGTCTAGGGGAAAATGCCACACAAGCTGCCTTATTTTGTGTGAGTGTAATACAGAGTCCTCTTTTGCTGCAAAGTGACAAGCCAGAGAAGTCAAAAGATAAGCTATTTAACTGGATTATTAGGCCTGTCCATATTCAGGTATTTAGAAATGCTTCTTCTGCTGATCATTTTGTAGTGCTCACAGGCATGAGAAAGTGCTCGGAGGCAAGGAACTCTATCTGTGACAGAGGTACTTGAGCTCTTATATTTACATTTTTTCTGAAACTAAGAATCTTCTCTAGGATTATTAAGCATCCCAGGCTTAGCTGTCACACTGACCCCTGTCCTAGTGCACATTCTGAAGATGTACTGAGCATTTCCTCTGTCTCTCCTGCTGACAAACAGCTCTACTACAGAATATTTTGTGATCCATTCTTCCTATACTTGACCCAGCAAAATTCTCCAGAGTGTTTAGAGACTAAAGACTTTCAAAAACATCAGAGTAAGGAGACTTGTACATTTTAAGACTTCTTTTCAATAACTGTGTCCTGTTTCCAAGTATTCAAGTCAAGTGAGTAGTTTCTGATGATGAAATTGTCTTTGAAACAGTTTGACCTTGATTCTCTGAGTTTGCATCTCACAGTTAATGGATATTAGATTCTCTCATGGATTTAAGCTCAGCATGGTCGTGATGACAAATTGGTCTTAGATGGTGTTTCTGCCCTGTCTTCTCAGGATCTTATCACATCACCAGTCTCTCTTCACTAAGCTTAATAGGATAGAAGCAGCATAAATCAGTGAGGAGACAGAGAACAGAAAGTTGTACGATAAATTGGAAACCCAGGAAAAACTTATTCTCTGGTTTTTAGTTTTTCACATTTTATCAAAATTAGGTCGTTTTGTCTTTTAACTCTAAAATTCTAGGGCCTCCCCGGTGGCGCAGCGGTTGAGCGCTGGGTTGCGAAGCTGCCCGCGGCCTCTGCAGCGCTGGTTCGATCCCCGGCTGCTCCCCGGCCACCGGAAGAGGGTCCCACATGGCAGCACAGACCTCTCCTGCCGCCCGCTGCTCCCCTCAGCAGTGTGCTTCGGTCCTTCTGCCTGCTCTGCTCCCCGCTCTGGCTCTGGTGAATTCTCTCACCCTCCCGCGCTTCTGACTATACCCAGTGCATGTACAAACAAACAAATAAATAAATAAATAAAAATACATGCCTCTTTAAAAAAAAAAAAAAAAATTAAAATTCTGTTGCTTCTTTTTTACATAATACTTTCTTATTCACAGATATCTAACTTGGTTCTCAATGCAGTCTTTATAAAAATAGAAATCAAATGTCACCTAGGAGATGTTAAAACATATATTTGCCTTTATTTCTTTTTAAAGATTTATTTTATTTATACA